GTTCATATGTATGGTCATCTTTTATGTTGTTTTAAAAAAAGGTATTTGCAAGTCATTGGTCTTGTAGCATTGTATCACATGATCTCCAACATCCTTTCTATCACCAAGACCATATTTTCAAGTGACTGAGTCTTCCTCTTTGGTTCCAACTTTTGCATCGCAATCACTAGTAATTATCAATACATCTTGATTGCTTGTTCGGTCAATTTCAGACTAAGGAAGTTAGTAGAATTCTTCAATTTCATCATCACTGGCTTTAGTGGTTGGTGTGTAAATATGAATAATAGTTGTATTAATTGGTCTTCCTTGAAGGTGTATGGATATTATTCTATCACAGATGGCATTGTACTTCAAGACAGATCTTGAAATGCTCTTTTTGATGATGAATGTGACACCATTCCTCTTCCATTTGTCATTTCCGGCATAATAAACCATGTGATTGTCAGATGCAAAATGGCCAGAACCAGTTCATTTCAGCTCACTAAAGGAGCTCTGGTAGCGTAGTGGTTATGAATCGGGCTGCGAACCACAAGGTCAGCAGTTTGAAACTACCAGCTGCTCTGTGGGAGAAAGATGAGGTGTTCTGCTCCTGTAAAGATTTACAGCCTCGGAAACCCTATATAGGGTCGCTATGGGTCGGAACTGACTCGACGGCACTTAGCAACAACAACAACAATGCCCAGGATATTGATGATTTTGCGTTCCATTTAATTTTTAACAACTTCCAATTTTCCTAGATTCATACTTCGCATATTCCATGTTCTGATTATTAATGGATGTTTGCAGCTGTTTCTCCTCATTTTGAGTTTTGCCCCATCAGGAAATGAAGGTCCGAAAAGCTTTACTCCATTCACGTCATCACAGTTAATTCTACTTCTAGGTGGCAACTCTTCCTCAGTCATATTTTGAATATCTTCTCACCTGAAGGGCTCATCTTCTGGTACTACATCTGACAATATTCTGGTGCTCTTCATCATGCTTCAATATTCAGTAATCTGGTACTGCCAATGTTCCACTGCTATTCATGCAGTTTTCAGTGACTAAATATTTGGAAGTAGTATGTCTCCTTCTTCCAACTCTGTCTTAGTCCAGAAGCTCAGTTGAGATCTGTCCACCATGGATGACCCTGCTGGTATTTAAAGTACCCTTGGCATAGCATCCAGAGTCACAGCAACACAAGAGCCACAACAGTATGACAAACGGACAGATGAGTGGTGGTCAGATTCTCTAGTGCTGCTTTAACACAAATACCACAAATGGATGGTTTTAACACACCAAAGTTTATACACTGTTGTTGTTATGTGATGGTAGGAGGTTCCTCTTTCTCTTTCCTTTTATTTCTTGTAAAATAAAAGGTGATGCAGGTCACACCCCAGGAAAACTCTTCTTGTATCAGTTTGAGGCTTTGACCCAGATAAGACGTTACATCGGACCCTAGCCCTGTTACAACTGATTGGCTGATCATATCATACCACATCATTGGGGATGATTACATCATCATATAACGACCAAGCCACTGAGAATTATTGTCCAATGAAGTTGGCAGATAGTTGGGATGGGGTGGGGCACACAATTCGATCCATGACAGCATTTTTCTCTTTCTGATCATTTTCCTTGCCAGCTTGCAGTTTGGGGATGATCTTTTTAACAATGTTGACTCTCATTTTTCAGCTGTTCTAGTTCTAAGCTGAAGAGGTACTTTGGGCTCTGAAAGTGGAGTCTCCCTCTCAGTCTGAGTCATGTGACTCTTCACTCAACCTGTGGATGGGGAACCAGGAAAGTAGGGGACACCCAGACAGGCTGCAGTCGCTCTTCATGACTTTGACTTTCTTGCTACAACCAACGACATGTATGTTGGCTCCATATTCTTGGACCAGGAAGAGAGGAAGTGGAGGTCTTAGAAGAAGGAGAGATCATAATTAGAGAACCTCTATGTGGGACAGAGATGGACTGGTTACAAAGCCAGCCCCAGGGCTCAAAACTTGGTGGGCTGTCTCCCCAACCAAAGTATTTTCCATTGTCATACTGAAACCTTCTGGATCTGCCAGAATGGCCAGGGCAGGAATGTGCCCTGGGAGTCATTGAAAGGTTGGGGAGGGCTGGTGCACTGAGCAGTTTTTATTAACCATGACGATTTCCATCACTATGAGAGATCATTTAGCAAGTTAAAACATATGCTTTCATATTAGAGAGCTTCCATGGGTCAAGACTAACTATGTAATCTTGCTCTGCTGGCTGTAGAAAGAGAAGAAACTGAAAAGAATGAATTTGAGCACATCCTAGGCCAGTTTTCGTCAGTGAGAGCAAGGAAGGTGCAGTTGTCGTTTTAATATAGAATAATAATGTATTAAGTAAAAGATGTGTACGAGCTTGACTTGAATCTTTGAGGTGATATTATGGTTGTTAAGTTGTTGTTAACCTTATATAGGGCCTTATATAGGTGACCTTATATAGGGCTCCCCAGGAATGACTAGTGAGTTTGAACCGCCAACCTATTGGTCTAGTGCTAATCCTCTAACACCACCCTAGGACTCCAGATGCGTGATGTCAGATGTGTGGCCAGAGGAGCAATTTCAGTGCATGTCATAACTGCAACATGCCTCTGAGACTCTTTCCCTTCCAGCCTCTCTGCCTGCCCTCTGGTTACTGTGCCCACACCAGGGGAGAAGGACGAACGAAGCTCACTATTTCCTCCCCTCTGCTTAGGGCATCCCTGAAGATGGCCTGCGATGTGAGCACCATGGACACTGGGCTCCCTTAGGAGGGGTGATGCCCACTGGCTGTCCCTTTTCAGGCTGAGCAGGGTTTGGTCCAAGCAGGAGTACAGTGAGGAAGGGGCTGTGCCTGGGCTTGTTAGGCAGATGAGGATTCCTTCAGGCAGCTTGAAGCCCTTTCCTCACTGTCTAGGTAAGAACATCTTCCTTCCTTTAGGTCTCTGCTCAGATACTACCTCTTAAGCCGGGCCTTCCCTGCCTACTCCTGTCCATCTCTGTCCTCCCTCTCTGGGCTGGACTTTCCTCCTAACACTTGTCTCTCCCACTGCACAGTAAGTTCCTTGAGGACCTCTGTCTATCCTGCTCAGCACTGTATCCTTGGCGTATAGAATAGGACCTGGCACGTAACTGGTGTATAATAAATATTTGTGGATTAATGAATGAGCAAGCCAGTCTGGGGGAGGCTGAGTCAGGCTCCTTTCAAGAAGAAAGCAGTTTCTGACAGGCAGCAACACCCAGCCAGGATCATGTCAGTTTTGTAGAGGAAATGAGCTCTTCATCTCCAACTAAACTCCAATGGTTGGAGGTATCATGAGTGGGTGGAGATCTTGGGTTGTGTAAATGGTTAAAGCACATGGCTGCTAATGGAAAAGTCCACCCAAAGACACCTCAGAAGAAAGTCCTGGCAATTGACTTCCAAGATATAAACCATTGAAAACCCTGTGACTCAGAGGTTCTACTCTGACACCAATGGGGTTGCCATGAGTCACAATCAACTTGATGGCAACTGATTTTATAGGTTTTGTTTGTTTTTCATGAGACCCAATCCTGTTGCTGTTGAGTAGATTCTGACTCATGAAGATTCCACAGGTGTCAGTAGAACCCTGAACCATAGGCTTTTCAATAGTTGTCATCTTACTAAAACAGATTAGAATCCACAACCTTTGGGTCAGCAGCCAAGTGCAGACCATATGATAACATGAATAGATGCCTTTTAAAAAGTCTGTGAAATGAATGTCTTGACTGGGAAGAGCTACCTCCCAGCCCCTGTGGGGCATTAGGGTTCAGGAACCCAGGAATTAAGGTCCGAGAACTACTCTCTGTTTTCATCTGCATCTTGCACCTCCCTCTGGGCTGGGATCCAGGAAGAAGGAAGGGGCCAGCCAGGGGTCCAGTTTCTCAGGGAAGGTAGGTGGGGGAGGTACCCACAGTTTTTACCAGACTTCACCTTCCTCACCCTACTCCTGGGAGGAGCCAAGAGCCAGGCAGCGCCCTCCTTGCCTATCCAGGAGTCTGGACTGTGTTTAAAAGACTAATTTCTGCCTTGTGGGGGTGAGTTATCTTCTTGTGAAATCTAGTTGGAGAAACAAAAAGGTTTTACCAGTAAGACACATGTTTCCTCCTTCATGAAAACTCCACAAGGAATGAACAGGCCCCCTCCTTGCCTCCGCCCCCAGCCCAGCCCCAGAAGTCTCCTTGGGCTGTCGGAATGCTGGGTTTGTGGGGGCCCCTGCAGATGTGGTGGGCAGGTGTGGAAGCTTTAGGGAAGTAGGGAAGGCGCTGGAGAAGGTATGTGTGCGCAGCCAGGTGGGGGGGGGGGAAGGGAGGCCTTCCTGGCCACACCCCTCCGGGACTTGGGCCCCTCCCCAAGGAGGGGGCTTTGTCAATGACCATGGTGTGTTTTCATCACTGATGCCCAAAGAGACCAGAGGCGGGTGAGTCTGAGGGAGGTATCCAAACAAAGGGGCTTGGGTTGGACCCTGAGAGTGAGGGAGCCGGGGTGTCCTGCTGGGAGGGCCGGCTAGACCTTGCTGAGTCCGGGTTGCAACCCGCCTACCCTTTCATCTCTGCCTCTTTCCTCCCTTGGGAGCATGTCTGTGAGTCTGTCAGGGTGGGCTTGGGAAGAGGAAGGAGTAGGAATGTCCGTGGGCAGTTCAAACTGACCAAACTTTCTTTGAAAAATCTCCTTTGAGAGAAGACCTGTTGGATAGACAGACAGATGCCCCAGAGACCTCTGAAGGGGGTGCAGTTAACTTCTGCAGGACTGGGCAGAAAATAGGCAGGACAGGACAGGAGGGGACATGAGCGGAATGTCCCCTCCTCCTGTGCCAGCCTGCCCAGGCCCTCACTCCCAGACTGTTTTTCCCAGACAGCTAAAAGCAAGAAAGTAACCTTTTTGGATTAAGAGAAAAGTTTCTTTGTTTAGGATTTTGTTTTTCTTTTTTAAAGTCTCTTTTCACATTTATAGAGGTGATTTTTCTTTTGTCTGGGGTCAAAGGCAAAGGTCCGAGAATGTCAACCCATGCAGCGGGGAACCAGACCTCCGGGGCCACAGAGGACTACTCCTATGGCAACTGGTACATCGATGAGACCCCAGAAGGCCAAGAGGTCCAGCTGGATGAGTAAGTATAGAAGCTCTGACCAGGTCTGCTCACAGAGTGGGATGTGGCAGAGGTCACAGAACGGGGACGTGCACCCTGGGCATAGGCTTCTAAGGTGGGTTCTCTAGCCCAGGTGCGTTTTTCATGTGCTGTGTGACTCTGAGAAAGTCGCAACCTCTCTGGGCTCCAGTCTCCTTTTAAATGTAAGGTCTATTCCATTGAAACAATAGTCCTTGCACTCCTGTTAATGTGTTTGAGGTGGGGATCTGGGTCAGGCTGGTTACTTCAAGGCCACCTGTGAGGTGTGTTAAGTTACAGATTCTTAGGCAGCTCTACTCTGCTGACTGTCTTTTGAGCAGCTCCCTGGGAGATTTGGGCCTGTGAGCAGGTTGGTGGTACTTCCAATGACTGGTCTTTCAGGGGTTACTGGTCTCTCTGGTGACTGTTTAGGGTATGGTGTGGAGGGAGGGAAACACCCCCAGCCCTTTCATCTGGGACAGGTGAGTGGTTCCAGTGCCAGCCTGGAGAAGGGAGGGAGGTAGCCTCGGCCCACCTAGAGTGGGCCTGGCTCACCCAGACCCTTTTCATCTTTGTTTAGTCTGGTGTCCTGGCGGAGGACCCAGGCCTCTCTGTGCCCCCTACCTGCTACCAAAGACCCCTGCAGGTGTGGGACCCAGAACTCAGTTCTCCCCCTGTTGTTTCTGGGCCTGCTCCCAGCTCCCAGCTCCCTGCTCTGTCAGAGGGTTTGGGGAACTAGAAAGGTAAGGCTGGGGATGCTGGGGTGGTGGGGAGGGGGAGGGGCTGACAAACCAGATGTGTGCACATCTGTTCTCCATCAACAACTGACACTGGAGAAGGAAAAATGCTCTTGTGCTTCCCCAAGGGCTGGGGCTGTGGCCTGGCCAGGCTTGGAACACCCGCAGGGACGGAGGCCCCACCCGGGCCTTAGAGGAAGGAGCTGTTGTTTGTCGAACTCAAGGTTCTGACCACCTGGAAATCAGCCTGCCAGCAGGAGGCTATGCTACCACTCCCCCTCCCTGGCTGACCTAGAGAGCCTGCTGTATGTGTTAGGAGTTGGGGAACACAGGTTAGGGCCCTGATTGGAAGCTGTGTGCTGTGGAGGTGTAGGCCTGGACACTGGCTGTGGGCCAGGTACCAGCAGCTAGCTCTGTGCTGGGGTGTTTAGATATAAAACTGGTGTCCAAATCAAGTGACCTTCGTGACAGGGACTAAGGCTCAGGGGTGAAGCTAGGTGGGAAGGGCAGCCTCTAATGTGGTGGCCTCTGGTGTGTGCAGGTCTCTTCCTCTCTCTGAGGTCCCTGGGTGGCTCTAACAGTTTGTGCTCTACACTAACCTAAAAGACTATTGGTGTGGAGCTATCGGGTAAGCACTGGACCACAAGGTCGGTTTGAACTGAAAGGTCAGAAGTTCAAATTCACCAGCCACTCCTGAGTTGAAACCGACTCGATGGCACTTAACAACAACAATTAACCTAAAGGACGGTGATTTGAAGCCATCCAGCAGTGCCGTGGAAGAAAGCTCTGGTGATCTGTTTCCATGAAAATTACAGTCAGGAACATCCTGGGGATCATGGTTGTATTCTGTAAAACATGGAATCTCCATGAGTAGGAATCCACTCAACAGCAGTGGGCTTGGCGTTTTAGGTGGTTCTAACTGCTAGCCATGCCATCCTTAAGAATGTATAGGTTTTGAGTCTATGCTGAACCAAGTTGAGTTGCTTGTCCCGATACCCAAGGGTGAGGGCAGGAAACTGGGAGCCCAGGGGAATCCCAAGGAGATGAACTTGGGCTCATTTCTCCCTGCATGAGTCAGACACCCCAGGGACAGTGTATCAATGCTTTGGGGAGCCCCAGACGCTGGTTACTTGCCCCAGCAATGCTCAGTCGGGAGTTGGGCTTGGTGGGCACAGGTGGCAGTGGCTGAAATGGACTCAGGTGTCCCTGGGGTAACAGTACCTGGTTGGTGAGGTTGATGAGGAAGGGATGTGTCATTCTGGGGGTCTTCTGTGAGTGTGGGAGTCACGTGTATGAACAGAGTTCCCTCAGGGAACTCCTCTAGCCAGAGGGTATGTTCCCAGCCAGATATGTTCCTAGTCTGGTATGTGCCCAGCCCATCAACACCCACCTGTGATATCTGTGTTCATGGGTACCCACCCACCATCAGTGCAAAACTTCCCATCCAGAGCCTTGGGATACAAATACATTTGTGGCCCATGTTCACCTCCCCACCACTTCCCAGGGCTTCCCTGCCTGCCTGTTCACTCATCATGTGGGCCAATGCCAGGGTGAGCTGCAGACCGTTTGCCGTTGGTGGAAGAACATTGTGAAGTAGGACCCCAGCTCTCTTAGTATTTTCGGGCCCCCAATACCCCCACCGGGATGGTCATTGTTTCCTTTCACCAGGGCAGGGAGTTTCTGCTATCTCCCTGCATGCACCCTTCCAGGCTCCTGCTCAGTAACAGCTGTCTGGGCTCCTGATCTGATGTCCTTGCCACTCAGACTCTGCCACTCCTCACCACACTGCACACAGCACAACCCCAACACAACCAAGTCTTAGCTTCCTTGGGCTACATACATAAAACTCTGGTTCTTACCCCTCCTTTTGGGATGAGACCCACTCTTACAGTCATCCCTTAAGCTTCCCTTCCTTCAGCTCCTCCACATTGAGGCATGTAAATTCTTCCTCCTAAATATCTCTGAAATACAACCTGGCCTTTCCCCAGCAACTATTTATGATGTACTACTTGAAGCTGGAGCTATCTGACCGGGCTTACAGTGGTGTTTTCTGCTCCCATGAAGATTTACAGCCTCAGAAACCCTATACAAGGTTGCTATAAGTCGGAACCAACTCAATGACACACAATCACTACCACCACAGTGGGGCAGTGGTTAAGAATTTGGCTGTGAACCAAAGGGTTAAACCCTTGGAACTCCTTGGAAACCCTATGCAGGGCCGCTATGAATCAGAATGTCTTGACGACAGTTAGTAACAACAGTTCACCAGAAAGTTCTTCTACAGTGCTGCTGGGTAGCTTCAAACTTCCAACCTTTAAGTTATCTGTTGTAATGAAGTGCAAACTATGCGCCCGCAGGGGCCTCCATGTCTACACAAAGCCACCTTTCAGATGCCAGTCAACAATGGGTTCAAACGTGGTAAGGGTGGCACAGGATGGGCAGTGCTTCATGCTGTTGTGCAGCATAGGGTCATCACCATTGTCCTCGGTGATCTCAGTATCTCCACCATGGAACTGTCTCTGTGCTCACCTACAGCAAATGTAGCCCATCTGGCAGCCCACAGGGAACCTTTGTGGCAATTAGAGAGACCAAGCACTCTCAGTAGGCACAGTGTCACCTGGATTTCAAACCCCATGCACTCTCTCGGCCAGGCATCCTTGTGCAAGATGCACATGGTGGGTGAGGAGGGTTCTAAGTACTTGTCATGCAACCTGTCTAACTGTATACGGAGACCTTCATGAGAGAGAAGTAGGGAAAGAAAAGACCTAAGTCCAGGTTGATGGGTGGGATTGGAAGCCAAGGAAGTTCAGTCCAGTTGAGAGCATAACCAGTCTCCGGTACCAGCAGTGAGTGGACAGCAAGGTCATAGTCTTGATTGCTTGGCTCAGACACTTGTGTAGTGAGCTCTGTGAGTCCTGAGTGGAACGGGGTGCGGTGGGCCTTAAAGGGTAGGTAGGTAATATCTAGGTGAGCAGGAAGATGGGTGCAGGGCAAACTGGCACACTCTGGGCAGAGCCATCCATGCACATCTGCCTTGCTGTAACCTCAGAGCCCAGTACACCATAGGTGCATGAGAGCCCAGGATGACCCTGCAGAGACGGAACTGGGTAGGCTTAGTGAGAGGGGCCAGAGGATCACGGGGGTGGTTAGTGACGCCCCAATGTAGGCAGCCTTGCACCCCAGACCTGGGGTCTGACCCAGACCTGGCGCCACCTTTGTTCTCTCTGCAGGTCTGTACCCTTGTGCCAGCTCAGCGTACCACCCAGCCTCTTCCACACCTGCCTGGCCTTGCTGTCTGTGAGTTCATTATGGCTGCAACCTGCTGCAATGACCAGAGGGCCTCTTGGTGGGGCTGGTTCAGGGGGTTCTGGGAGCTCAGAATGTGGCAGGGGAATCTGGGAATCCTCCCAGATCAGGTCCCAAACCAGTAGGCAGGCCAAGTCCAATCTTCCAGATGTCTGTCACCTCTAAGTTATCCCCCAAGATGCCCCATGAGTATGAACGGTGGAGGAAGGGGAGTTATCCTGAGGGCTGAGACAAGCTCTTTGGGTAAAGTCTGGGCACGCCAAGTCTTCTCCCATTCTCTCCCTGCAGGTCCTTGTGCTACTGCTACTGGCTGGACTGGTGCGGCGTCGCCAGCTGTGGCCCCACTGTGGGCATGGCAGACCTGGGCTGCCGAGGTAGGTACTGTGGTCTGGGCATCTCTATTCAGGGTTCCAGCAGACAAGGGCTACTCTGGAAGGGTAGGTGATTTGTTAGGTACCCAGATCTGGTCTCAGTGACAACCCTCTCTACTTCCCTCCACATCTCTACCTTAATCTCCAGTTTTAGTTAAGACCCCCCAGAGGGAGGGGAGGGGGGCCCACTCAGGTCTACCTGCTCCCGTGGTCCATAACATGAGGAAACAGGACTCCATCCTAGACTCCAGGAATATGTGAGCCCATCAAGGCCTGACTCTAAGACATAGCTCCTCAACATGTCCTTGATGTCTGGGCAGACCATGACCATGCCAAAGTCACCTTGACTTTGGTTTCCCCTGTGGATCCTGTTGTTAAAGACAGATTCATGGGAACCTTCAGCCACGTGGCTGGAACTTTCTCCCCCTGTCTTCTTGGGCCCTGTAGCCTCAGAGCCTGGCATGGAGATGGCCCTGAGAAGATGGAAATGGGTGGGCTTGTGTGCAGCAAGTCAGAGGTTGAGGAAGGTGATGGATAGAACCCCAATATACACAGCTTGGCACTCCAGACTTAAGATGTGCACCCAGGGGTCCTGCCATACTGGTGTGTGTGGAACCATCTGGGGCCTCTACCTTGTTTGGGTAGGATTTGGGATGTGGGAGGAGAACAAAGTAGGACTGAACTCGTAGGATGGAAGGGCAAGCTGGGATGCAGGAGCCCAGAGGAGAGATGCCTGAGACAACAGTGCCCGCTGTCTGCCCTCTGCCCCCAGCTCCACACCCAGGCCAGGGGCGGTGGCTATTGCACAAGGATGGTGTGACTCGCTGAGCTGTCTGAAGTTTTGCCAGCCTAGACAGATTAGTGTGGAGGCGGCATGTTTTCCTGGCGCTTCCATGGTGTATGGTGGGAGCAATGCTTGGGCATGCTTCTAGTGTGTTTATGTGTGTGTGTGTGTGTGTGTGTGTGTGTGTGGTGTGTTGGGGTGGGGGTCCCTCCAGTCACTTAGTCACAGGACTCCATGCCTGGTATATAGGAGATACTCTACAAATCTTTGTAGAATTGAATGACTGAAAGGACCTCAGTTTCCCTATCTGGAAAATGGAGCTAACTCTACTTCATGATTTATGGAGTATGGCCTAGAGGTACTGGGGGTGTAGGGGCTAAGCACCTCCCTCCTACCCTGTTCCTGCTTCTACACCAGCCCTGTGAATTTCTTCGCTGAAGACAAGCCCTGGATGGTGCCCGCTGCTGTCTTCATGGTCCTCTTCAGCTCCATATGTTTGCTGATCTCTGATGAGGACCCACTGCCCTTCCTAACCCTCATCAGAGCACCCAGACAAGGTACGAATGCAGCTGGGTGGGCAGTCCTGAGCACTGGGGCAGGCTTCCTCGGTAGGTTAACGAAGCAGCCCTTATACCATGTCATGAGATGTCAACTGAGAAGGTGCTGCCCCTTCCCCTCCCTACCTGCCCACCATGGTGCTGGGAATCCCAGCTGGTGGGTCATTAGTGCCATTTCTAGTTTTTCTGTCATTGGGCAAATCCCACTCCTGGACACAGGCCGAGGCCCCCAGAGTACCTAGCCCTGTGTGAGAATGAAGGATGATAGTGTCACAAGAAAGGGATCCTGACTTAACTCAACGGAGTGATGGTGACAAGGACGGTGACCACCAGGTGGGCCCACTGCCCTGGGCTAGGACTCCCTGGAGATGAGCCAGTCCTCATAATGACCCTGCTAGTATGGCTCTGAGCCCATTTTACAGGAGAGGAAACTGAGGGTTTGAGAAGGGAATAATGATTTATTGCTGCCTTAATTTATTGAGCAGTGTCCTAAGCACTATACATATATCTTCTCATTTGGTGGTGGTAGTGGTATGCCGTGGAGTCGGTTCCAACCCACAGCAACCCCGCATAGGGTTTCTGAGGCTATAAATCTTTACAGGAGCAGAAAGCCTCATCTTTCTCGCACAGAAAGGCTGGTAGTTTCGAACTGCTGACCTTGAGGTTAGCAGCCCTACTCGTAACCCTTACTAATTAAGGAGCTGGACTCTCGGCTGGTGCTGTAGGATAATCGCTGGACTGCTAGACACAAGGTTGGTAGTTCAAACCCACCAGTCTCTCCTTAGACCCCTATACAGCATGGGTGAGGAACATCAGGTCCGCCACCCGTACAAGGCCCTCAAAATCATTTGATCTGGTCCTGCCAAGGTAACTGCAGTTCCAGTCATCACACTGTTGTTGTTGTTGTTGTTAAGTGCCGTTGAGTCGATTCTGACCCATGGCGACTCTGTATAGGGTTTCTGAGGAGCAGCTGGTGAACTTAAACTGCCGACCCCATCACACAGTTGTTGTTGTTGTTAAGTATCGTGGAGTCGGTTCCAACTCATAGTGACCCAGCACAGGGTTTCTGAAGCTCTAAATCTTTACGGGAGCAGAACATCTCATCTTTCTCCCGTGGAACCGCTGGTAGTATTGAACTGCTGACCTTGAGGTTAGCAGCTGGATTCGTAACCACTACGCTACCATCACATTAGGGGTGAGTTAGTTAAATGTTTGACCACATATGGCAGGCTAGTTTTTCAGTTGATAATTTTGTATGGTCTGTGAATGATGTTATAAATTTTGGCAAAAAAAAAGCTTTTCCATAACAATCAAGGATCCCTGGTGGCACAGTGGTCAAGTGTTTGGTTGTGAACTGAAAAGTAGGTGGCTCAAACCCACCAGCAGTTCTAAAGGAGAAACAGATGACAATCTTCACCCATAAAGATTCCAGCCTTGGAAACCCTATGGGGCCTTGCTGCTCTATCCTATAGGTTTGCTGTGAGTCAGACTCTAGTTGAGGGCAGTGGATCAGTTAAGTAGCCTTGGTGGCACAGTGGATGAAGCATTGTTCTGCTAACCAAAAGTTCAATGATTCAAACTCAGCAGCTGCTCCGTAGGAGAAAGATGAGGCAGTCGGCTTCTGTATTGATTTACAACCTAGGAAACCCTATAGGGTAGTCCTACTTTGTCCTGTAAGGTTGCTGTGAGTTGGAATCTGCTCGATGAGCAGTGAGTTTTAATGGGGGGCACAGTAGTTTAGTGCTTGGCTGCTAACTGAAAAATTGGAAGTTAGAACCCACCCAGCAGCCCCCTGGGAGAAAGCCCCGGCGATCGGCTCCTATAACGATGACAGCCTAGAAACCCTATGGGGTAGTTCTTCTCTGTCACATGGGTTGCTACGGGCCTGATGACACCCAACAACAGCAATATGCTTGTGTCATTGGCTGATACCTGTAGCTAGTATGCTTACTTGCTAACAAAAAGTTTGGAGATGTGAGTTCATCCAGAGGCACCTGGGAAGAAAGACTGAACGTCAGCCACTGGAAACCCTCGGGGAGCACAATTCTACTCTGACGCACATGGAGTTGCCATGAGCTGGAATTCACTCCACAGATACTGTGAGGAACCTTCAAGAAGCTCCTGGAAAAGTTCTAGTATTTCATTTAATCTTTCCAGGAACTGTTTGACGCTTCCTCATATGCTATCAGGTGGGGAAATTGAGACTCCCAGAGACAACTTGCCTAAGATCACAGAGCTGATACTGAATCTGGATTTGAACCCAGGGTTCTTGCCCACTGAACCAACCACCTCAGGGGGTTTGTTGATGGTTACAGTAGAGAGGCCTGGGGGGCTAGACCCAGACCCCATGTCCTCATGCGTTTCTCTCCATCTTGTCCTCTAGGACCCTGGAAGCTACTGGCTCTGTTCTATTACCCTGTCCTCTACTACCCTCTGGCTGCTTGTACCACAGCCAGGCACAGTGTTGCGTACCTCCTCGGCAGCACAGTCTCCTGGGCCCACTTTGGAGTCCAGATCTGGCAGAAGGTGGAGTGTCCTCAGGCACCCAAGGTAACCACGGACACAAGATGGTCTCGGGCAGAGGGATGTGCAGACAAGCCTGCTTAAACCCAGTGTTTTATATGATGGGCTTTGCTACCGCATTCCATTAGGCCCAAGATTTGCTTTTTTTTTTTTAATTGTGAACTGAGTGATAGTTTACAAGAAAGAATATTGGCTTTACACCATCATTTCATTGCAATGATTACAATCTCTTCTATGCATCATCATTCAACAATATTTACTTCCATTCCTGCTGTTTATCTTTTTTTGGGGGTGTGTGTGGAGTGGGGAGATGTAAACAAAAACACTCAGGAATATATAATAATTTAAACAACCAAAGGGCACATTCTGCAAGCCTGCCTCCTGGCCACCAGCACTCAGTCCCTCTCTTTCCATGAATCTCGAGTCCTCAGCTGCTCTCTCTCTCCATGTCCCCATCTCTGCCTCCATCTCTGGTGCCACTGCTTCCCTGGATAGGGTCCAGCCCTTCTTCCTTGATGGTCTCAGAGTCTTCTGTTTCTGGCCTGAAAGATCAACCACTCTCCCATTTTTGTTTCAAAATTTCTACCTTTACAGTTGTGGCAGTCTCAATTAGTCATGATAACAATTACTCACTATTGAATCATAAGAATCTTATTCCCATCTCTTTTCACCAGATCTGCCTAGGCAACATGAAAATTATTCAATGGGGACCCACACACTCTGAAACTAAACTCCCTCTTGAAAACTTGTAAGCCAGTCACTTTGTGCCTTTATCGCTTCCTCATTTTAGGTAGCTGATGCATAAGTTGCCCATCCCCATCTATCCTGTATACAGAGGGGATAAGATTGATACTTGATGTGAACACTCCTTCCTTCTCTGTTGGTATTTTGAGGTACTCCATGAATATAGGTCAAATTCATCAAATTGTAGCAATTTACCCTTGTTCCCATTATCCAAAAAAAAATTCTTTTAAAATCTTCCTGTAGTCGAATTCTGATTATCAAGCCATCAAGGCTATGTCAAATGGATACTATCTGCAAGTTTGGGTGTTCTTGTGTATCTTCCCTCACTTCATATCAGCTGGATGCTTCACTCTCACTCAGCTCTAGCCTTCCGCGGCTATGCCAAGATTTACTCTTTAAAAGTGTGTCTTCCTTACAGGAGAGTCTGAGATAAGCCAGATGGGCCTTGTCCTCAGGAGTTTCCAGTCTAGGAGGGTGGAGATATGGGATAAGTAGGAAGAGACCATTACTGATTCCCCAGACAGGAGTGGGTGGAAGTGAAGACAGAGGAAGTGTTTGGGGGTGGTCTCAGAAGGTTAAAGGACATTCCAGAACCTGGTTCATTACTGGCTGCTGGCTAGAGGTGTGGAGTTGCCCAGACTAGAATCTGAAGGGAATAAATTAGGCTTCCAAGCCAGGCAACCTGAATTTGAATCCATTTTCATCACATCATTCATTCATTCACCCATTCATTTATTCAGCAAGCCTATTTGAAGTATAACTGTTTCAAGCACATTTCTAGGCCCTGGGGTGACAGCTGTGGACAAGTCCTTCATCCCTTGAAGCTGTCATTTAGAAGGGGAGACACGTTAAAAAACTAAGGAACAATACCAAATGATGCCAGGTGGTGCGCAGTACCTTGGAAAAAGCCATGCCACCTTTCTGAGACTCAATTTCCCCACTTGTAAATACAGTTGATCTCACCAGTCTCTCCAGGGTGAGGATGAAGATTCGGAGGTTTCTTTGAGAGTGAGAACTTGATTTCCACCACCTAGAACCTGACATATACTTAGTACTCAATAAAAACATACTGGATCAACGAATGAATGATGAGTGGGTACACAGGGGGCCAGCCCCAGGAAGGCGTCAGCCTGGGAGGCAAGATACCCACTCCCCTGGTGGCATACACAGACAGCATTAGGCTTTTGTCTGATTTTCAGGGGACTGTGTCCAAAAGCTCTGGATATAGGAACAGAGAAAGTGGGTAACCCATTTCAGGTCCCCATCTACTTCTGGGGTTGGGGGTGAAAGGAATTACATAAACTCTTCTCTTTTGGCTCCTCTAAGGACAATCCTATGTAGAATCCGCACTGAACTGCTAACCACAAGACTGGCGGTTCAAACCCACCAGCAGCTCCTTAGAAACTCTATGCAGGGTTGCTATGAATTCAGAACCAACTCCCATTACATATGGACAGTAAACACAGTGGGCACAGTGGGCAGTGACAGTTCAGGAGCCTGGGGTTGGGGTGAGAACACCTGCAGAGCTGGAGATGAGGAAAGGTGTGTTATGCTAGGTGACCCAAGGACAATAGAACCAGAACTTTTCCCTGGTACTCAGACCATCCTCAGACCCTTCACAGAACCCAGTGCGAGGGGGAAAGGAAATGGATTCTGGTGCTCAGTTTGGGAAGGAAGACTGAGGTAGGTCTGTCTGGGTGTCTGTCTGTCTGTCTAGATCTACAAGTACTACTCCCTGCTGGCCTCCCTCCCTCTCCTTCTGGGCCTCGGATTCCTGAGCCTCTGGTATCCAGTGCAGCTGGTGAAAAGCTTCAGCCATAGAGCAGGACCAGGCTGTGAGGTAAAGGGACAGGGCTGGGGTGAGCTCCTACTCAGCGCCCAAAGACACCCTGAACTCCTGTGTCTCTTGGTCCTTATACATACTTGGTCCTTATACATACTTGGTCTAGCACACAGTTGCTGTTAAGTGCTGTGGAGTCAGTTCCAACTCGTAGAGACCCTACATAGGGTTCCCGAGGCTTTAAACATCTTTGCAGGAGCAGAAAGTCTCCTCTTCCTCTCATAACACATAGTAAGTACTCAGAAGGCGTTTGCTGAATCTCTAAGAGATTGGTTGGTCCACTCCTCACCCCAGACTAAGGCCAGGCTACTCCCCTGCCTGGCTGTGTGAACAGCTGCAACTAACCAAGGGGATTATGATCAGAAGGCAGGAAGGTTGTAGCTCCATCTCGGAAACACTGAGGATCCAGCTAGGATAATGGGACCAGTCAGGGGCCTTGTGTCTAATAGGAGCTGAATCTGCAGATATTGAAATGTTCCAGGAACCCTCAGGGCAGAAGAGCATTATGAATCAACACAAAGTTGGATACATTTGAGTAATATCAAATAAGGGGAAGTTCTAGGAGAGATGAGGCAGGGAGGGCTTCTTTGAGGAAGTAGACTTTAGTAGGATTCCAAAGAACAAGGAGAATCTAAAGTGGAGCTAGAAGGTTAGGCATTGCAGGCCTGGAAAAGAGCATCAATAAAGGCCAGAGATGAATTTGTGCCTGTTTTGTATTTGTGTTTGTAGCACCCTTAGCACACAATAGAGCCTCAGAAAATGGTGGGTTTTTTTTTTTTTAATGTTTTGGATTGGTAGTAGATGGATGAGTGGATGGATGGATGGACAGATGACCATAACATGATAAGATAGAATTCTTACAAGATGTTTGATCTTATTAAGAAGGCTCTGAGCACCTGTGATGTGTCCAGCGTGGATGCTACTGACCCAGAGCTGACCTCCAGGCATGCTCATTATAGTGCGGGAGACAGGTGCAGCCCCAAATATTTATAGTGCTATGCAATAGTGCAATCGAGGCTCATCCAAATGCCATGTGAGTCCAGGTGTAGGCAGGTGAGGGAGGAAGAATAGAAAGACTCCACAGAGGTCCTCAGAGGGCCAGAGGGCCAGAGTCAGGATAGGCTGAGAACACAGAACAGAAACAAAAGGGTTTGTTATTTTTCAGATGGGAACAGTGATGGAAACTCTGTAGGGTAGCATCTAGGACAGGTAGCAGATATGCAGGGATAATGCTCAGTTGTGGATGTGCCCATATGAGGGGTCAGGTCATGCTCCTGTGGACATGCCCAGTGGGCAGCAGGACCACAGGTCCAGAGCTTAAGAGAGGGGTCATCAGACGGAAGCTGGAGGATGAGTAAACTCACTTAGGCAATGAAGAGTGAGGGGAGAAGAGGCTGGGTGGGCTCAGGTGCTTGTTGGGTAGCCCCGAGTCTCATCTGGCTTTTCTGGTCTGAGAAGACCCATCTGACTTGGCGTGGTTCTCACGTGGTGGGTGAGTAGGGTTCTAAGTACTCATCACTCACTGCCCTTCTGAGGCTCTAACTCCTTTGGGGGAGTCCCATTGTCCCCTCATTTTTTAGCTGGTCCTCCTGAGGTCACAGTGTGCCAGGCATCTCTGCACATCCTCCCCCAGGGATGCTCTCTGCCTCACCTCTCCCTGTATTGCATGCTTTGCCTCCAGAGTCATGGGGGGAATAAAACCCTCTTGGCCTTTGGTCAAAGAGGTTTAAGCCTCAAAGGACCCAGTCAAGCTTTGAGCTGGTTGGCCCCCACCAGGTCTGGATGCCATGGTTGCCATGGCTACAGGTGACAAGCCTCTCTGTGTTCCCCCAGTAATCCAAGGCAGGGGCTCACGCTGTCTTCTCATGGGCCTCAGCCACTTTGCAGACAGCTCAAGGCCTGGAATGTGGCTTAGACAAATCCAGTCACCCTTGTGATCTCCCTTGAGTAGCAGTAAGCTGGTTTTTCTGACCTGGGATGGCCCCTTGCCTGATCAGGAGTGTGCTAGGCCAGGGGGCTGGGAGGAAAATAATGATGTGGTGTGACCAACCAAAGCAGGAGAGAGTTGAAGATAGACCCTAGGAAGAACTTCCCAACATGGGTAGTCCTTTAGTAGGAAATAAACTGGTCTTGTATTTGTGGAGATGGGAAGGACAGTTTTAGTGTAGGATGGATCTCATCCACATAGCTCAGCCCTTCTCTGGCCTTCACAGCCAAGTAGCTTTACAGAGCACCAGCTGCATGCCCACTGTGGTACCCAGAGCCGATGCCCCAGGGATGGTCCAGCAGGCCACATTATTTGCTCATCCATTTGTCTGTCTCTCCAGATACCACAGAACAGCTACTCTGAGGAGTATCTGAGGTATCTCCTTTGCCAGAAAAAACTGGAAAGCAGGTGAGGTCCCAGGTACACCCTCAGGTGGGCCATTGGGGAGGAAGGTACCGGGCAGCATGGCAGAGGCAGACAGGAGGAATGAATTAGGCTCTGGGGCTCAGCCTTGGGGCTGGGGCTCCTTCTGAGGATCCTCACCTACTTGGGTCTTTCTGCAGCTCCCACAACTTCAAGCGTAGCTTCCTGTCTCGGGCTTGGAGCAGCTTCAGACACCGTATCTACATCCCTCAGCAAGGTATGGGATGGGAAATGAGGCCCTCCCTTCCCGTGAGTGCAGTGGAAGGCACTTCCTGGCCCCTACGTCCAGCACCCTTGTCATCAGAAAGGGCAATCCTCGGCCTGGAACAACAAGAAGCCCCTGGCCTGGCCTTGGTGGTCCAGAGTCCTGTGAACCTGGGCTCTTTTCCTGGGCCTCTTGGGAGGGATGGGGGTTTCTGGGCTTGGGTAGAGTTGGGGCTCACCATGCCTGTTCCTTTGAGGACTACAGGATTCCAACTCCCCCTGAAGCTGGTGCTTTCAGCAACCTTGTCAGGGACGGCCATTTACCAGGTAAGTCCTACATCCTGTGGTGCCATCTGCCTCTGGATCCTTGCTTCTGATCCACAGCTTGGGATAGCTCAAGCCCAGCTCAGTTATCCAAAAATCCCACTCACAACCTTCCGGTTACTTCTGGAAATCTTGGATGTTGAGCTACCCAGAAAGAGGTCTGTTTACTTTTGTTGGGCCCATATAGTGAGTCAGGACACGAGTTTGGGGAATCACATAAACACGGATTACAATCCCAGCTCTATTATTTATTTACCTTCTTGGTTCTCTTTGGCAAGTTACTCAACCTCTCTGAACTTTTAGCTTCTCTATAAAGGGAAGAATAGCTATCCCTTCCCCCTTTGGTAGTTTAGAATATTTAATGAGCTAATACAAGGCAGCTTCAAAAAGTTCATGGAAAAATGGAATGAAAGGATACTGGAATTTTCCCAAAAACTTTTTGAAGCCCCCTTATATGTGCTTGATAAATACCTCCTCTGCATCCCCAAGTCTCCTCAAAAATCTCAAAAAACTCTGGGAGATTGGTATGATTTGTCTCCATTTTACAGATGGGAAGATTGAGGCTCAAAGATGTGACTTGAGCAAGTTCCTAAGGATATCTTGGAAAGCCAAAATTTGAGCCCAGATCTGTCTACCTTCAATACTCATGCTTATTTATAGGAAGAGCTTCCTCCAACATGCACAAATTGAAAAATTTTATATTCCATATTAAATAATATTTATTATGTTACATTTTACAAATATATCCAATATTATATTTCATTATTTAATTTTGCACACGCACACAATTTGAGTGGCTTAAAAGAATGTCTTTGGTTCATTATCCTAAAGTTGCCAAGAGGCCTGAGGTTCCTGCTTAGGTGGACAAGACACTCTGAGATGGACATGTGACTGCAGGCAAATTCTTCCTGGGGTGGTGGTGCCGGGTGAGAGCACAGGGAGACCCTGGCACTCTCGTTCTGGGTCTCTTCCAGGTGGCCCTCCTGCTGCTGGTGGGCGTAGTCCCCACTCTCCAGAAGGTGAGGGCAGGCATTACCACAGACGTGTCCTACCTGCTGGCTGGCTTTGGGATCGTGCTTTCAGGCGACAGGCAGGAGGTGGTGGAGCTGGTGAAGCATCATCTGTGGGCACTGGAAGGTGAGACCTTCTGGGGGTGTCTGAGGGCCCATTGCTATAGGGACCATGAGGCAGAATCCCCGAGCTCAGTTCCAGCCTGCCACCAATGTACTGGGAGCCCTTGGGTATGTCCCTTCCCATCTCTAGGTCTTATTGCCACATCTCCACATTGGGATGGTTGGAGTTTCCAGTTCCCACTTTCTGAGACCTGAAGATATAGCCCCCTGGTCCTTGTCAGCTTTGGTGGCTTCTCTTACCCACATATGCAATGTCCTGATGTGGAGATGAGGTAGGCAATGGTGCAATTGAGCTGAGGGGCACGTCTTAGAGGCTTTGTTGAGCGTGGGGATGCTCAAGGTGGATGGAGCTGGAAAGGAGAGTGCCTCCTCTTTCCTGTCCCTGTCCTCTCTGGCCATCTCCTTTCTCCTTCCTTCCCCTGATACCCAGCATCAAGCCAGGAATGATGCCAGCCTATCCTCCTGTGACCTGGTGCCTTCAGTAGCCCTGCTAGGGAGCACCCAGCTACCATACCTCCCAACACCCGTGTGGAGGAGACTGGGAGGTGATTTCATTTGTCACATGGGGAAGGAGTTGGCTAAGAGTGCACAGCAGGCCAGAAGTTGGGCCAAGAGAACTCACGTGTCCTGATGCCTCTGCTAGGGCATTCTCTACCACCTGGAGACAAAGCCTGGTGACTTGGGGGTTCCAGGTTGGTGTGCATGGAGGTGACCATCAGGGTCAGAAGCAGTAGCATCTTGGCTTCTGAGGAATAATATGCAATGGCTGGAGCTTAGGCTGCCAGTATTGCAGGTAGAGGTGTGCCTATTCTGCAGCTGCTCCTGGGAGGGTGGGGGTGGACCAAGGTGCATGCAGTAACTGCTTCCTTTCATGAACTCTGGTAGCATAGTGGTTCCGAATCGGGCTGCTAACCTCAAGGTCGGCAGTTCAAAACTACCAGCGGTTCCGCAGGAGAAAGATGAGGCGTTCAGCTCCCATAAAGATTTACAGCCTTGGAAACCCTGTGCAGGGTCACTATGAGTCAGAACTGACTCCACGGCACTTAACAATAACAACAACAACACCTTCCTGTGGAGTCCTGGTGTGGCGCTGCAGGATAACGCGCTGGACTGCAAAGTTAGTTTGAAACATAAGGTCAGCAGTTCAAACCCACCACTCGCTCCTCAGAAACCCTACACAGAGTTGCTATGGGTCAGAACCAACTCAATGGCACTTCACAACAACCTTTCTGAACTCCTTAGCTCCCATTCCAGAGGCTGTCCTAGAGTTGCTGCTGAGACCCACAAACTGGGCAGGTGACAAGGTGGGCTAAAAATGACCTCTCTGGAGACATTTCAAGCTGGCTGTCATCTGAGTCACAAGCAGGAGCAGACTTAGCTCATGTCAGCCCACATCCAAGCTCAGGCCCTTACTCACAGAGCAGGAAGCCCATCTCACAGAGCAGGAAACTGAGGCTCAGAGACAGCAAGTGATAGGTCCAGGGCAAATGGACTCTACTTCTGCTCATCACATCACTCAAGGGCTTCCCCTTTGAATCTTCTTGGATGGAGGGACCAAGCAGGGAAGCATTTGCTCTCCTAATTTACAGATGAGAAAAACAGAGACCCAGAAACATTAGCGATATGCCCACAGTTATTCAGCAAGACAGGGATAAAACTGAGATTAGATCTGGGTTTGGGAGCCCTTTGGCCTGCTCTTAGTCTAAAATCCTGGCATCTTCTGAGCTCTGGCAGTCCTTCACCGGGGCCACCCACCTGATGCCTGGACCATAAGCTTGGGATCATTCACAGAACTTTCAGACTCTGAGTCAAGCAGACTAGATTAGAATCCCTGCTCTGTCACTTATAATCTGTATGAATTTGGGCAAGCAGCCTCACTTCTTGGGGCCTCGCTCTTCCTACCTGCAAAATGGTTAGGTCCTTCTTGGGTGACTTCAAAGACAACCTTGCTATTGAGGTCCTCAGTCAGGTGGTGGGGACAGATCTAGCCACAAAGCAGGGTTCAGAATGGAGCAGGAGCTGGGAGATATTTAAGGCTGGTGAAGCAGGGTCCCAAAGGAGGAAAGAGCAGGTAGATGTCATGGGTACCAGGGTTTGGAAAGACCTGAGTTTAGAACAAATTAAGGGAGAGGAAAGCAGGAGGCAGACAGATGGAAGTCAAAGGTCAGGCCAGTAATCATGGGGTCTTGCTAACCCTCCTCTTCTTTACCAACCTATTCACTTACCAAGTCATGCACCGCAGGCAGGAAATGGGCCAGAATGCACTTTTGCTGCAGGTGAGCTGGCTCCCAAAGAGGCAAACCAAGTAGAGCAGAGCTGTGCACACCGTCTTCCTTCCTCCAACCTTACTATTCCTGCCACTGGGGACTGAGGCAGGGACAGGCAGAGAGGCCCCAGGAATCTGCAATAGTGGTCCTCACCCCTGGCTGTGCCTGAGGGTTACCTGGAAGTTTTAAAAAATCCCAGTGCTCAAGCTTCTGAGGGTGGGGGCTCAGCATCAGACTGAGCAAGCCTTCCAGATGTGTCTGATGCAAGTCACAATGTGGGACTCACTATTGTAGACACTCAGTGTGGCTTGATGGATTGATTTCCATCAATTACTGAGTGAACGAAATGTCTGAGCCTCTGCTTTCAGGAAAGCCCACAGCAGAGCAGAGGTTCTCAGTCCTGGCTGCACATTGGAACCACTGGGGGCACATTCATAAAACTGAAGGTCTGAGTCCCCATCCCCAAGATTTTGATTTCATTGGTCCAGAGTGTAGCCTTGGCATTGGGAGTTTTAAAAGTCACCCCAATCCAGGTGATCCTAAAGTACTGTCCATGTGGAGGTCCACTGGCTTAGCCCTGTAGGAACAGCACTTGCTTTGTCCATGTGCCTTTGATCTCCCCCATCCCGAGTTTCTGGTGGAGGAGACCCAGGAACCGGGGTTGGGGTGGGGGTGGGGGGGTGACTGATGAGGAGATCAGGGTGCAGGAATCCTGGGATCACTCTGGATCTACTTGGAAATGATTGCCTATCTCTCTCCATCACTTCCTAGAAGTATGGCTGCTGGGTCAGGCCCTCTCTCTGAGCCTCAATTTCCTCTTCTGCCCAAAGGGAACAATCCCTGTGCCTTGACTTTGAGGTGTTGCTGTGTGTGGCCAAGATAAGGCTGAGTAGATACAGGGTGAGGGGTTTGCAGCCCCACATCACTGCTATGCTGAAATGCCCACCCCCGCCCCCCAGCTGCTGTGGACACAGGAGATTTATAATTTGCAGACATGGCCAACCAATGAGGAGTTGGGGAAGAGGACCTCACCTGGTGGGTAGCAGGGCCACCTTTCTCATTCTGATGGACTTAGGCCACCGATACGGACTTGGATCCTTTGCACCCTGACCAAAAGCATTGGTGCAGACACAGACAGGGAATCATGGCTCACATTATCCCGGGATATTGGTAGAGCAATGGTTAAGTGCTTGGCTGCTAACCAAAATCTTGGAATTGGCACCAACAACAGTAACAATACAGGTAGCATAACAGGCTTGGGGATATGATGTGACCTCCCAAAGGCCCTCTGTCTCATGCATTCGGTATGAGTTGGAATTGACACCCAACAACATGGGCAGCCCCGCAATGTACCCGACAGTATGTATATGAGCAAGCCCAAGCTGGGCGACATGGTGTGACCTCCTGAAACCCACACAGTCAGGAAATAGTGAAACTGGAGCATAACAATGCAAGCAGCAAGACCAGGATGCGGACCAGGTCTTCAGTCTCAGAGCTGGAATCTCCCCATGTGACCACCATGTGTTACAGGGAGATCTGAGCATCGGGAAAGTGACCCAAAGGTCTCTGCTCAGAGTGGAGTATGGGGATGGGGGTAATTCCATCCATACCTGACCTGGTAGTGGTTGAAGACCTCTGGAGACCTTCTAGGCGCTGGCCATCCACTTTGCTTCTTCTTCATTCCTTCAGTTTGCTACATCTCAGCCCTGGTCCTGTCTTGCTCACTCACCTTCCTTGTCCAGATTCGCTCCATGGTGACACACAGGTTAGTGGCAGGCTCTGACTGCCCACCCCCACCCTCCACCCCCGCAGTGCAGAGGTGGGGTGGGGATGGTGGGAGGAAGAAGTCAAAATCCTGTGGACCCCTGACCCTGAGGTCTGTGGGGAAGGCCCTGGGCTGTAGGCTTGGTTGCATTGTGGAGGTGGAGACAGCAGGCCTGGGTCTGCCCTAGGGGGCCGGTTCTGTATAGTTGGAGGGATGTGTGTGAGTGATTACCGGGCATGGTGATTCAGGGCTGGCAGGTGGAGTTTGTGCTCTAAGAGACCCCTGGGTGGGCTGGTTTCCATAAGGAAGGCAGCCTGGGATGCGGAAGGAATGGGAGGAGGATACTAAAGGCAGGAGGCATACGGTGGGCAAGAGCAGGGTCCTGGGCTGTGCTGGCCCCAAGAGAGAGTGGGAGAGGAGGTGACCTGCTGGTACAAGGGTGGTGGAGAGATTACTCTAGGCACTGGATGTCTCGCTTGCCCTTTGGTGGGGAGCAAAGAGGAGCATGAGAAATTCCAAGCAGAACCCTGGGGAGAGGAGGTGGATGGTGGGTAAAAGGGGAAATCCAAGCACTTGCCCACATCAGAGAACCAGTCATGTGCCCTGTGCATTTGATAGGTCTTAGAGTTCCCACCCACGGATCTCAGTCTGGCATTCAAGGCTCCCAGCGCCCCTGCCTGCCTGCAACCTTCCCTCCTGCCCTGGTAGCTGAACTATATGTCACTTTCCACTCCCACCATTGTCCCCACTGTATCAACTTGGCTCCCAGAGATACCCCTCCCCCAGCAATTTATTCTTACTCACCCTCTAAGACACTGCCCAGAGTCACCTCCTCCAGGAAGCCCCTTAAGACTTCTCAGGTTGGATTAGTATTCTCCACTGGCTCCCACTGCCCTGGGCGTCCCGGCTGAAGGCAGTGGGTTGTAATTAGATGGTGAGGTTGGTCCGGAAGCCAGCCCAAAGAAGGAATTTGGGGAGCAGAGGCTGCTCCCTGAGGTTCCTGTCCTCCTTTGTTGCCCCAGGTCCAACCTGCAAGCTTTGTACCGAGGAGCAGCCCTGGCCCAGGACTCGCGGCCCCAGAGCCTTCATCCTTCTCACCAGGCCTTATTCAGTTGGATGAGCTTCAGTGCCTACCAGACTGCCTTTACTTGCCTCGGTGAGTCCCGCTTGTCCACCCCACCCTGCCTCATCCCTCAGGGAGGGGACTAGAGCTCCCCAGGCTTGTGCTGCCTATAGTACCTGCCTGGGCCTGGGAAGGCTCTGTGGCACAGAGGGACTCATAATGGACACTCCTCACATGAGGTATGGATGGACTCTGGGTGCCACTAGGCATTTATATGAAAGGTGGACTCAGGGCTGGAAGTTTCTAATTCAAGGAGGCACATTCAAGCATGTGTAAGGGAGAGCTGGGACCTGAAGGGCCGCCTCCCGAGGTAAGGAGATCCCAGACACTGGGGTTATGTAAGCAGAATTCAGTGACCATTACTAGAACAGCATAGTGGGGCCTGCCCTGAAGGGCTGCATCAGATGACCTTTCAAGACCTTTAATGACCTTTAAAGTTTCGGATTCTCCCCTAGGGCACTGCAGTGAGCAATGGACTCAAAACAAGGTGGGCTGAAATACAGGGCCAGGGTCATGGCCTCTCTTCTGTCCCTACCAGTCCCTCAGTTCTCAGTTCCCTGGGGAAGGAGGAGACAGAGGACTGGAGGGCTAAAAGTCATCATTCCCTTGCTCGATTTTATACTGAAAAGGCACCCTGGTGGTGCAGTGGTTCAGTGCTTGGCTGCTAACTGAAAGAAAAGCGGCAGTTCGAACCCACCGGCTGCTTCTGTAAAGATTAGAGCCGTGGAATCCCTCTGGGGCAGTTATACTGTGTCCTACAGGTTTGCTGTGGGTCGGAACCGATTCAATGGCACACAAGAACATGCTGGCAAGTCGGTTCTGACTCATGGAGACCCTGTATAGGGTTTCTGAGGAGCTGCGGGTGGGTTTGCACCGCCGACCTTGTGGTTCAAACCAGCTTTGCAGTCCAGTGCTTGTACACATTATCCCACATAAACAATTGGCCAATTGCTTCAATAGATAAGTCTCCAGCAACTACCGCATGCCAGACTCAGGTCTGTAGGAGTACAAACGTTAGTTAAAAATGCAGACCCATCCCCAAGGGCTCAGTGTGGCAAAAGTACTGGGCCAAAAGGTCGATTTGAACGACAAAATCAGCAGTTCAAACTCAGCAGCTCTTCCTTGGAAACCCTATACAGGGTCACTATGAGTTGGAATCAACTCCATGGCACTTAACAATAATGTTTGCAGAGCACCTTTTGGTTTTCAAAGAGTTGCCACAGATATTATCTTATTGGATCCTCAATAATGTTCTCTGAGCTTGAGCTAAGGACAACTGTCCCCATTTTACAGAGGAAGAAACTGAGGTCCAGGGAGGTAAAGTAACTTACACAAGGCGGCCCAGCTAGGCAGTGGTAGAGTAGGCATCTGAAACCATGTGTGCCTGATTCCAAAGCCCTCACGGGTCCCTGGGTGGCAGGGATGGCCAGGCCTCTCGGAGTCTGATATCTGTCCCTGGTTACTCCGCACTGCTGGCAGGGCTCCTGGTACAGCAAGTCATCTTCTTCTTGGTGACGGTGACCCTTGCCTTCCTGGTGTTCATGCCTGTCTTCCATGGCAGGAATCTCCTTCTCCTCCGAGCTCTGGAGTCCTCATGGTGAGTGGGGCAAGGCACAGAGGGCTCTGGGATCCCTTTCCAGAGGGCTGCTAACAGTGACCACTCTCCCAACCCCCACCCCAGGCCCTTCTGGCTGACCATGGCCCTGGCTGTGACTCTGCAGACCATGGCGGCCCAGTGGACCTTTCTGGAGACTTCCCATGGACGCTCAGAGCTGACCAACAGGTGAGATGGCCCCTGGGCTTGTGGCTCCCTCAGGCTCTGGGTGTCTTCTCCTTCCATTCACTCTTTCTTTGGGCCCTTCTCTTCCCATTGCCATCCCTTCCCTTTCTCTATCAGGCAGCCCAGTGGGTAGTCAGTGAGCTCCTTACACTGAGAAAGGGGGGCCAAGACATGGCCTGTCCTGTTTGGGGGAATCAGCACAGCTCTTCCCTTGGTGCTCTGTTCCCTCAAAATCAGGTGGCTCCTCACTTTAAAGGCACTTGGTTTGAATGTCAGATGGAGGCTGTGCTGTGGGAATGAGAACTCAGACCCCAGGAAGGACTCGGACCCCAGTGGAGGGAGGCGGGAGACACTGTGGTCACAAAGAGACCACATTTATATCTCTACAGCCGGGCTCTGCTACTCATTAGCTAGAGAGCCTAGGTTAAGCCACGCCCTCCCTCCGGGCCTCCGTTTCCCCTCTGGAAGGCAGTGGTATAGCGGGGTGGGGGAAAAGCCCAGTCCAGGGTGGGGTGCATGGTAATGCTGTGGGCATCTAGTGTGAGCTGACACTGACTCAGGGGCTAGGGCTCTGGGGGTGGGGGAGGGCTGAGCCTTCCGGTTCTCCCCACCCCAGGCGAGCTCTCTTTGCGGTCACCTTCCTTCTCTTCCCCATCAACATGCTGGTGGGCATCATTGCGGCTGTCTACCGAGTGCTCCTCTCTGCCTTCTACAACACCATCCACCTCGGCCAGATGGACTTTAGCCTGCTGCCGCCTAGAGCTGCCACTTTTGACCCTGGTAAGGGCACAGGGGCTGGGCCTTGTGGCAGGTTGTCCATGCTGTAGGGGAGGGGTTGTCCTGACCTAGTGCTGGGCGGGTGGAAGGAAAGAGAAGGCGGATACAAATGGAGACACTGTGGAGCGCTGCAGGTAGAAACAGCAGAGGAGATCAGTACACAGCAATACGATGGCTCTTAAAAATGGAGTGTTCAGCAGAAAAACAGAAACCATTGGATGAAACTGGAGACGCAGTTCCATTAAAGTAAAGCACAAAGACACCAAACAGCTGTATACATTGTGTTGAAACTAGACAAAAGGTACCTATTGTTAAGTGCAGTCTAATTGGTTCCGACTCATAGCGATCCCATATAGGGTTTTCAAGAAGTGGCTGGTGAGTTTGAACCTCCAGCTTTGTCACTCAAACCAACCTTGCTGTCTGGTGCTTTATCCCACAGAGCCAAACCACGACTCTGACAGCCAAATGCCTGTGTGTGCAGGAGTGCCAGTGAGGTGGCATTAGGCATGGAGAGTGGAAGTCCCTTGGGCCAGACAAAGCTGATTTTCACCCACAGCCTCTCCCAGCTCAAGCACATCCCTTCTCAGAGGCCCAGTCACCTTCACTGTAAAATGTCTTTTTGTGTTAATGGCTCAGCCTCTCCCCTGAGACCTTTTGAGGAAGCCATTGGTTAAGACGTTCTGTGGCCAAAGTTATGACGGGATCTCACGCAACTCTCTGCTAGCTTTGTGGGAAGGAAGGCGTGTGCCCAACGTGTGTGTGTGCTCAGAGGAGGCCAATGACCTACATCTGTGTGTGCAGGGCCCTGTGAGTCTGTCTGGGAAGGACTACAGAGTCTGGCCACAGAGTGTCCTCTCTTGGGGACAGCACCAACTCTCGGGGACACACTTCTACAGGGACCACGTGAGCACGTGCTTGGTGTGTGCCAGAGGCTGTGCGTGGGTGCATTCCCACATGGCATGAGTCATTGTATCAGCCTTTCACATGCGTGTTCATGCTGTGTTTGTCTATCGAGTGGGGAGCACACGTGTGACCCCAGTACCCTTGTGCATGATGCAGGGGGAGGATACAGGTTTCCCCTGCGAGGCACAGCTGTTCACAGAGGAGATCTGTGTCCTTAGCAACATGTGCAGTGCTAGGTGAGATTTCTCTGGTCACAGAGAATGTCAGAGATAAAGGCAAATTTTAAATTTTATAATGAGTTTATTTGAGCAGGACGAGACAGATCATGAACACGGCAGTATCCAAACTGAAAGGAGAAAGTAGTTCTGCTGACAGGAACAAATTCATAGTTTATATTGCAGGAACAAGGAAGTTGAGGACTTTATGAAGGTGTGATGTTTGTCAAAATAGGGGGAAGGATGGCCGAACGACATGGAGTCATAGATGTGGTCAGTTGATGAGCATGTGTGAGGACAACCTGGGGAATTGTCAGTTCAGGTTTAGCCCGCCCCCCACTGATGATGCACTGCTGTGGACTAGATTCTGACTTCTAGCCACCCTCTAGGATTTGTGAGACTATAGACCTTTATGGGAGCAGACAGTCTCATCTGTCTCCCCTGGCATGGTGGTGGTTTGAACCGCTGACCTTGCAGTTAGCAGTAGTCCAATGCTTAACCCACGGTGCCACGAGGACTTCTTTCTATGGGTCGTAGGGGACAGTAAACGCAGAGTCTGTTGGTTATTTATGAGCAGGCTATTTCCTTAAGAGTCTGAGACAGTTTCAATCTTACAGTCCTTAGGCTGCAGCAAGTCTGGAGGGCGTCAGTATTTAGTTTTACACTCCATAGGGGGTATGCAAGCAGCTCTGGTGGTACAATGGTTGAGTGCTCAGCTCTTAACCCATCTAGAAGCTCTGAAGGAGAAAGACAGGGTGATCTGGCTCTGGTAAACATTACTCTCTCACATGGGGTCACTAGGAGTGGGAATGGACTCCCAAGCAAGTAAAAACAACAGAGTGTATTATGGGACTTGCACTGTGGTGTGCTTCGAGCGTGTCTGCATGTGCCTACCTACAGGGTCATACCCCATGCTGCTCCCTGCTCAGTGTGCCTGTGTGCTTATACACACCATGTGCACTGTATTCCCTGTGTGTGTTTCGGTGTGGGGAGGTGTCTTGGTCCCTCCTTCCCCAGTGTTTTTGTTCCCCACCCCCAGGCTACCACACATACCGCAACTTCTTGAAGATTGAGGTCAGCCAGTCGCATCCAGCCATGATGGCCTTCTGCACCCTGCTCCTCCGAAGGTGGAGCCCCCAACCTCAGGGCCCCACAGGCCCCCAGGATGGCCTCAGACCAGGGGAGGAAGAAGAAGGTATACCCTATAACTTGGCGGTGGGGTGGACATTGAGTCTACCCAGCTTCTCCAGGGAAGGAGGCCCCATTCTTCCCTAAACACACACACTAGGAGCAAGTGCCAGGAAATTTCCCACTTCCTCTCTCTCTTGGCTGCCTGTGGTCGCCCCTCCTGGTTGGTCTCAGGGTAATTTTTTCCGTGATATGAGCACACACACACACACACACACACACACACACACACACACGTTTGCACACAGAAAATGAAATGGCTGCCTTACCAAGGGGATTGGTCACCTCACCATCTCACCCTCCCTCATCTCAGAGAACACTGCCCTTTCCCAGCTTCCTGCAGAAGTGGGCTTCAGGGTCCTGCTCTTCCGTCTGCAGGATGACACTCCCAGCCCAATACAAAGGCTCCTCAGGAATCTTTTCTCTGTGGCACTGCTTGAGCCCAGGTTCCCTGCTGGCTGGGTTTGTTGAATGATTCAGACAGTCTCTCTCTTACAGGGATGCAGGCCAAGGGAGCAGGGCCTAGGGCCAGCCGCTGCAGGGCCCGCTGGGGTCTGGCCTACACGCTGCTCCACAATCCAGGCCTGCAAGCCTTCCGGAAGTCAGCCCTCTCAGGAGCCTGGACCAATGGCACCCAGTTCTGAGGCACGGGAGGCCAAGCCACCCTGACCTTGTCTGTGGTGGAGTGTTTACCCTCCTCTCATCCCACTCCCTACTCTCGAGGCTCAGCAGCTTTTCCACTTAGCTCCAGCTCTGCCAGCACGGGCCCAGAGCAGCCCCCTTGGGTGCCACTGTGATTGGGTGCAGGTCTGCATTCTGAGCCTTGGAAAGGCTCCCATCTGCCCCTTCACTGTAGGAGAGCCCGTGGGAGTGCTGAAAAAAGCAAGTGACGCTTTAGGCCGAGGTGTGTGGGAGCCAGTGGAGTCAGTGCATTGGAGTTGATGGAGGCAGCCACATCCAGGCACCCCCACCCCCGACCTTGGCTTTTCTTCTAAGAACCTCTCTGAAGCCTCCTCCTGAACAGGGTTTGGGGTCTGGACAGCCTCAAATTCCAGCTGAGCTGCACCTTGGCCCTGGACCTCACTACCATGGGACTGGATATGAGTTCCTCCTCCCACCTCCCCTAGCCTTCTCTGGGAAATGGGCGGAAGGCTCCTGGGCCTCTTGGCCTGCCCAGGAGGAAGCCATGGACTCCTGCCAGGTAGCAAGTCATGGCTCAATCCAGGCCCCACACCAAGCTGTGCATACTTGAGAGCTAGATTTTTTTGGGTAGTTTTTATACCTTTAGTTAGTATGAAAGCAGTTAGTGTGTTCGCTGTAATAAACTTGTCCTTGAGAAACAGTCCTCCTTATGGGGGAGGGAAAGGCCATCGGGCGTCATGCATTTATGGGGCTTGGGCTGGGTTGTGGGTTCTCTGGTTACATGCTGGGCTGGGCCTGAACTGTTTGGATGTTGGGTTGGGAAGTAAGACTTACTCTGGGTCCTAAAGATGGGACAGCATAGGGGGAGGAGAGAAGACAAGAGGGCAGCAGTGTGGCTGGCAGTTTTCAGGGCCGGTGGGCCAGGCCATACTGGGATCAGAGAAGAGTTGTCCTAATGAGAGTGGACCAAGCTTACCAGGGAGGCAGCTGAGGAGGGTGGAGACAGATTGGGGTGAGAGGACTCCCCTGTGGGAGGCTTTGATGGAGCTCACAGAGCTGCAGAGGGCAGGGGAATGTGGCCACCCAAAGATGGGTCAGCAGGGCCTGGGGAAATGTCTGCACAATTAGCAGGCAGCAGCACCCTGGTTTCCCTTCCCTTGCAGCCCTCAAACACAGGGCCAAGAAGCTCAAACCCACCTTAGAGGCCACCTGTGAAACTGGGGGGAAGTCAGGGGTCCTACCCACTGCAGCCAATGAGAACTGTCCAAAGGCCCAAATTCCGTCTCTGCCCTCCAGAAGGAATAAAGCACAAGAGTCTGACCAGGCGGGACCACTGGACACCCAAGACTTTGTAGACCCAGAGGAGGAGAGCTTTGTCCAAACTGTGGGGGTAGCAAGAAAGGCTTTCTAGAGGAGATGATGCCTGAGGCTTTGAAACTGACCTGGCCAAGTGAGGAATGGGCAAGGGTGTCCAGGGTGAGGGCACAGCATAAACAAAGGCACAGAGGCATGAATCAGCATGAAGCGTAAAGACAACCGTGAGCAGAGTAAGTGCCTAGAGCTCAGACAGCAGGGAGGGGTAGGTGATGTGATGAATGGACCCATAGGAGATTTTGGTACAGCTGCTCCCATGCCAACCCTGACTCATATCAGGTCCAGCCACATGATAGAAGTCCAGCTTGCTCCAGCTGGGAATGGGGTGGAGACATCAGTGGTCTTTTTGTTTACCCAGTCTTAATGATAAGCAACCACCACTCGTCTGTCAGTTTGTCGTACTGTGGTGGCTTGTGAGTTGCTGTGATTCTGGAAGCTATGCCACCGGTATTTTAAATACCAGCAGGGTCACCCATGATAGACAGGTTTCAGATGAGCTTCCAGACGAAGACAGACTAGGAAGAAGGAGTGACAAACTATTTCCGAATATTTAGTCACTGAAAACCTTATGAATAACAGAGAAACACTGTCAGATATAGTGCCGGAAAATGAGCCCCTCAGGTTGGAAGGCACTCAAAATGCGACTGGGGAAGAGCTGCCTCCTCAAAGTACAGTTGACCATGATGACGTGACTGGAGTAAAGCCTGTGGGAGAAAAACCCTCGGGAACTTCATTTGTTCATGGGGCACAACTCAAAATGATGGACTCAAGTGTGGCAACAGTAGTGAGGTTGGCCCAAGATCAGGCAGTGTTTCGTTCTGCTGTGCATAAGGTTGCTATGAGTCGGTACCGACTAGATGGCACCTAACAACAACATGATAATGATAAGCAATCTTAATAATGGGTCATCTTAACCCCATAAGTAACCCAGATGTCTCCATCCCCTCTCCTGGCCTCCATTCACAGCTGGACCAGGATTTCAGCCTTAGACTATCATTTGGAGTCCTGGCTGTTGCATAAGCACTGGACTGCTAGTCATTAAGTTGGCGGTACAAAGCCACCAATGGCTCCTTGGAAACTCTATGCAGGGTCGCTGTGAGTCAGAACTGACTTGATGGCACTTAACAACAACAACAAAGACTGTCATAGAACCCTTAAGCACTATCCTGCCCTGTCATTTGCTTTCTAAGGAAACTAAAGCCCAGAGAAGGGCAGTGACTTACCCAAGTCGACATAGCCACAGAATTCGGTTCCATCCTGTTGTTTTCCACTGGACTCAGAGCCATTCCTGATCCAAGCCGCTTTGACATCAGCTCAGCTGGGGCTTCAAGGGAGGGCTTGGGGGTGGGGCTGTATGTGGACCAGGAGGTGGGGGAGGAGGCTGGCCAATCGCCAGGACTCACAGCTGCTACCCTAGACCCTGGGCCTCCCTGCTTCCGCTCTGCTGAGCTCAGCAGATGTAAGGGCTCTGGCAGAGCCTCTCCCACTGGGTCACTGTCCCTATTTGAAGCACCTTTAATTTTGAAAGGGGAAGGATGGAGGCAGCAGTGAGACCCAACTCTGTCCTGGCGCACATACAGGTCCGGCAGTCTTCAGGTTTCTGGGCCCATCCACATGCTCTCCATTCTCAGACTCACAAGTCTATGCTAACCCCAGGCCCACACCCTGAGCTCAGTTACTGATCCACCTTTCTTTACAGCAAAATGACAAGACAGAGTTCTGCAGGTCTAGTTTAGGCTTTCCTCAGAAAATGCCGTTTCCTCTTTCTGACTAGGTGGAGGATAAGTCGGATTCATTTCCCCCTTGCTTCACTCTCAAACACAGTCTCTTATATTCTCAGATTTCCCAGGACTTTCTATCTTACTGCTCTCTCCCCTGTTCCATGGCTCCTGTCTCCCCTTCTCTTCTCCCTTTGCCTACATGCACCCCTTTCTTCTCCATTCCTAACACCTCTTCCAGGAGCAGGGCTGAGAGTACCCACGCACTTCCACTTATTCCCACCCCCTCCCTCCAAGTGGTCCCTTCAACCACTGCTGGCCTAAAACCCCACTCAGGGCACCCCAGATCCCAGGGAAGCCTTTGTAATGGTTTTCCGGCTCCCTGACCCCATGTATCCTGTGTACTAGTTTTTGTTCCTGTTGTTGTCTAGTCAACCCATAGCGACCCTGTATAGGGCTTCCAAGGAGTGGCTGGTGAGCTTGAACCACCGACCTTGTGGTCCAGCGCATTAACCCACAGTGCCATACCAGGGCTCCATGTTAGTTTCGAGGCAGGAAATACCTGCAGCTTAACTCCCCAGGAGTCCAGCTTCTCCTCTCCTAGTGGGTCCCCTCCCATGTTGCCTGGCCCTTGTGTGGGCAGCAGGTCTCAATTCCATGGAGGACTCCTGGGTCCAATCACAACTCCACGCTGACACAGGAAACATCAAAAACGCTGTTTATTTCTCAGCTGTTCCAGGCTGGCTGGCTTCTTCAGAAGGGCAGGCTACAGATTCAGGCTTGGAAGGAGGAGGGGCAGGTGTCCCAGGCTGGAGGGGTATGTGCTGAGGGAGAAGAAGGTCATGCTAGTCCTCCTGTCTGGTCTGAGCTGAGGGCAGAGAAGCCCAGGGCGCTGGAGCAGGTCACTGAGCCTCCCTTCATCGCTCCTCTCCTGTGCCCTGTCTGCTGCAGCCCCCTCCTGCCAGCTCACCAGTCATAGTGCCTGGGATCCGCCACTGAGACTTCATCCAGCCGGGTGAAGGCTCTGCCCTGTTAGCATGCTGCCCCATAGGACAGCATGGGCAATGTAGTTAGCAGCAATTGGCATCATAGATGGTGAGTTATAGGATCAAAGTCAGTCCCAGTCACTAGCTTTGAGCAGGTCTAGAAGTTGTGGGTGGTGGGTGTTCTGGAAGAGATTCGAAGAGGAGGTAGGAAGAGATGGAAAATTGCCCTGGCAGAACTCAGGACTCACCAGTGCCAGGCCCCGAGGCACTTACAAGGGGCTCTGGCAGGGCCAGGGGAAGAGTTGGGGAGGCCTGGGGGTTGCTCCTGTCCAGCCCTGGTCAGGGATGGTGAGGGGGTGAAGCTAGAAGAAGGCAAGGAAGAGGAGAAGAAGGCTGGGGCCTAACAGAAGCAGGCCAGGGGGCTGCTGCTCAGGATCAACACCTGCCGCTACTGCTGCCTCGGGGCTCCCAGCCCGACTGAGGTAGATGATGACAACGTTGTCCTCGGGGCCAGAAGGCTGCACCTCATTGTCAACAGTGTAGCAACCCTTGCCGTCGGCCGTTTTCCCTCGAAACCTGTGGCCCAGTGCATCTTCGCCACCATCGCCCGGCGTAGCCAATGCCACATTCACTGAACTCTCAGCACTGCCCAGCTCATTGGTGGCCAGGCAGCTGTATGTGCCCTCCTCCATCTTGCCAAAGTCAGGGATGAGCAGGCTGCCATTGGCAAAGGCCTGGAAGCGAGGTTTGCCACTGGCTGCTGGGGCTCCAGGCGGGACATGCCCATCCACACCCACGTTGGGGCTGGTGATCTCCACGGTGCCCCCGGGTGTCTGGATGTGCCAGTGCAGCTGAGGCGCTGGTTGCCCATCCACATCGCAGTGGAGCGCCAGCACGAAGCCAGGCCGCAGCTCAGCTCCATCCTGGTTGGGCTGGTAGGTGAGCTGGACTGAGGGCGCTGAGCAGGGCAGCGGCGGCAGGCGGCTCAAGGGGGTGCCCTTGAGCACATGTGGTGAAGAGCAGGCGATATTCTCCTGCTCTGGGATGGACACAGCAGTAGCCAGGGCCCACGTTTTGAGCCACACGATGCCACAGGTGCAGTCAAAGGGGTTGTCGTTGATCTGCAGGTGGGACAGCGCAGTGAGCGGCGTGAAGGTGCCCTCAGCCAGCGAGTGCAAGCGGTTGTGGTTGATCTGCAGCGAGCGCAGGGCTCGCAGGCTGCGGAAGGCGTCTCTGGGGATGAAGGTTAGCTCATTGCTGTCCATCTTGAGCAGCTGCAGGGCACTGAGATTGTGCAGGTCACTCCAAGCAAAGTCTGAGATGACGTTGTGACTGAGGTCCAGGCTTTTGAGATTGCCCAGAGGAGCCAGGGCACCGGCAGCTACCGTACGAATCTCATTGTGTGCCAGCCACAGTGACTGTAGCAGAGGTACCTCATCGAAGGCGCCTCCTGGCAAGGCCGGAAGACGGTTGGCAGACAGACTCAACGTGGTCACATTGGCTGGAAAGCCCGGCGGCACGGCCTCTAGGTCACGGTAGGCGCAGTCTGCGATCTGGAAGCTGTATTTCTGCCCACAGTCACAGGGTTCAGGACAGGCGTGGCCCAGGCCTAGGAGAACTGCCCAGCACAGTAGGCATAACTCTGGCATTGTTCCTCCTGCAGAGAAGGGCATGCCACCAGGTGACCCCGAGGGCCCAGGGCAGGGGCTCATCCCTCCCAGGACCCCCAGCCCTTCCCCAGCAGGAAGCCCTGTCCCCACATAACCCAGCTAAGGCCCAAACCACCCCCCTCACATTTTACAGATGGAGAAACTGAGGCCCAAAGAAGAGCCGGGACTTGCCCGAGGTTCTGCAGCCAGGTGGGGTGAAGGCAGGACGGACGGACGAAGACCCCAGCTCCTTCTCTGAGCAGAGCTGTCTCCCTGCCTCGGCCTGTTCCTTGCTGACTTTATGACTTAGAATCTGCTTTCCAGCCGCCCCTACCCCCAGCCTTTGCAGAACCTCCCTCCTGCCCTCCCACATCCTGGCCAAAGCCCCTCCCACCGGAGCCCCCCATAGGTATGCTCTGTCCCCAGCTCAGACAAGGCCCCTTGTGCAGTGCACACCACCCCCTACGTCCCCCCGCCCCCTCCTGCTCTTCTGGCCATGACCACAGCAGACAGACCCTTTCTACAGAATCACACCCGTGGCCTGTTCTGTTCAAATGACGCCAGCCAGCTGCCTAAATAAACCCCTGCCAAGCCCTCTCAGCTGTCTAAGGCCAGCGGCTCAGCCCCAAAGGCTCAGCCCCAACACAACTGGGATTTCCGGGGAGGGGGGCCCAGCAGTGGTAGGAGGAGTTGAGGCCCCCTGGATAGCTCCACACAAGGGATTATCCCAAGCACCTCAAACCAACAAGGAAGTGCGGGTGTCCAGTAGGCCTCTCCTTCCTCCCCATGGCCCTTGGGGCCCTCCTCCCCACTAGCTTACCTTCAAACTAGTCTTCTCTGGCCAAGACGAGCCTTTCTAGAGGGAACCAGAAAGCAACAAAGGGCCAAGTTAGCCCAGGAGAGCATGAAGGCCAAGGAAGGTAAGGATGCGGATGCGGGAGGAAGGGGCAGCTTAGTCAACACCCCACCTTAAACGTGCATGCACACCCGAGCTCACCCCACCAGGAACAGGATGCTTGGACGTTCCCGGTTGGAGGCTGCAGGGAGGGAGCTCAGGACGGCCCACACGTACCCTCCTTCCAGCCAAACAACCGCTTCTTTGCAGCAGCAAGGACCTGCGTTTCTTAAGGGATACCAGAAACTTGAGGGGAAAAGATGCCAAATTTTTTTGGGTTGTGTTTTTTCTCTCCCTCTCACTCACTTATAGCAGCTTCAACTTCCTTAAAGACACAGCGCTGTCTGGACAGGATCCAAAAAAAGATGGGGCCAGATGGGGATTTTTTTTTTTTCCAGGGGGATGGGGAGCGACTAGTGAGAAACTGAATCTCATTCAGGAAAGTAGGAGACTTCTGACTTCACTTTGATCAAGATAAAAAAGGACCTCATTCTTTAACCTGGGTCTGTGTGGCCAATGAGAGCCAGTGTGAAGGTGTGGGCCTGTATGTGTGCATTCTGAATTTGTGTGGGTGTGTATCTGTGTGCAGATGAGTTTGTGTGTGTGGATGTGCGTATGATACTTTGTGTCTTTCTGTGTGTTTGGTAATGCTTGTCTGAGCGTGTTTGTATATGGATGTGTTTGTCTTTGTGTAGCTATCAGTGTGAGACCTTGTGTCTCTGTGTGTGGGTTTATGTGTGTCTCTCTCTGTGTGTTGGGTGAGGGTGTGAGACCCTTTGTGTTTGTGTTTGTATACCACTATATATATTACTTGGTTGTGGGTCTGAGAGCGATATTCTTGTGTGTTCGTGTGTCTGTGTGCGTGTCGGGTTTGGGTGCGAGGCCTTGTTGTCTTGTGTGTCTGTGTTTGTTGGGTGTGAGTATGAGAATTTGTATCTTTGTGTGTGTGGGTTTCTGTGTGTATTTGGGCATGAGTGTCTGTCTTTGTTTCTGTATGTATGTATGTTTGTCTAAGTATAAAACTGTGTGTTTCAAAGAAAGACTGAAAAGGCCAAAGGCTATGAGACATTCACCAGGCTCCAACTCCTGACTGAGAAGCCCAAATGTAAGGCCTGTTTGTTTGAGAAGGCATATTCTCCTGGTCTGTATCATAGGCCCTGTCTGCTGGCTCCACCACTGAGCTGCTCCGATACATGTAGCCGGGGAGCACCCAAGGCCCTGCTGCTCCAGCTCCTGTTTCCCTTGTCCTGGCTGGGAGCATCATTCAAATCTCAATGGCAAAAATTGGGGAGAGGACTGAGTGGTTTCTAACCTGTCTGGATGCAGCTGGTAAAAGGAGATGGGAATAAGACTCTTATGGTTCAGTAGTAAATTATTGCTATCAGGACTGATTGTGAGTGTTGCAAATGTAAAGGTAGATGTTTTGTAACAAAAGGAGGGGAATGGTTGACCTTGCAGTCTAGGAGCAGAAGTAAGGGAGAAGAGTGGAGTGCAGGACCCTATCCAGAGAAGCAGCGATGCCAGAGATGGTGGCAGATACGATGATGTAGAGAGATGGAGCGGCTGGGGACTCTAGACTCGGGGAGGGAGAAGGGCTGTGTGCTGATGGCCAGGGACCAGGCTTGTGGGGTGTACCCAATGGTTATATATTCCTGAGTGCTTTGGTGTACATTCAAAAAGAAACAACAACAAAAACACAGAGGGAATGGAAGCAAATGTTGTTGAATGATGATGTATGGAAGGGATTGTAATCATTGCAATGAAATGAAATCCAATAGGAGGAATGTAAACCTGATGTTCTCCTATGTAAACTATCACTCAATTCACAACAAAAACTTAAAAAAAAAATAAAAAAATTGGGAAAAGGAACCAGTGGGGCTTCAGTTTCTCTGACTGGGCTTTTGAGACACAAACTTACAGCAATGGTACAATTACCCAGGATCGCCCCTCAAGCAGGCAGAGGTAAGGATGTGGACCTCACACCTTCCGGAATATCCTCTTTGTCCCTGAAATCATATGGAGTCTGTGTTGCCCTCTCTGTGCTCCATTATTCCAAACACATTCTCCAGGTATTTGACCCTTTTCTCCAAATGGAATGGGGAAGAGAATGGGGCCCAAGACAAGGAAGATAGAATAAAAGCCAAAAGACGAGGGCTTTTGTTATTGTTGTTAGGTGCCATCGAGTTGGTACCAACTCATAGTGACCTTATACACAGTAGAACGAACACTGCCTGATCCTGAGTCAAGCTCAATACTGTTGCCACGCTTGAGTCCATTAATGCTGCTAATTTGCCAATCCATCTTGTTGGGGGTCTTCCTCTTTTTCTCTGACCCTCCACCCTACCAAACATGATATCCTTCTCCAGCGACTAGTCCCTCCTCACAATATGTCCGAAGTATGAGAGACGAAGCTTAGCCATCCTGGCCTCCAACGAGCACTCCGGCTGTACTTCTTCCAATGCAGATTGGTTGGTTCTTTTGGCAGCCCATGGCACTTTCAGTATTCCCCTCTAACACCATAACTCAAAAGCATCAATTCTTCTACGATCTTCCTTATTCACTGTCCAGCTTTCACATGCATATGAGATTATTGAAAATGCCATGGCTTGGATCAGGCGCACCTTAGTTCTCAAGCTGACATCTTTGCTCTTCAACACTTTAAAAAGGTCTTGTGCAGCAGATTTGCCTAATGTAATACGTCATTTGATTTCTTGATTGCTGCTTCCATGAGTGTTGATAGTTGATCCAAGAAGAATGAAGTCCTTGATAACTTCAATCTTTTTTTCAATTGATAAAAATGTTGTTTATTGATCCAGTGGTGAGGATTTTTGTTTTCTTTACATTGAGATGCAATCCATACTGAAGGCTGTGCTCTTTGATCTTCATCAGTAAATATTTTAAGTCCTCTTCACTTTCAGCAAGCAAGGTTGTATCACCTGCATATTGCAGGTTGTTAATGAGTCTTCCTCCAATCCTGATGCCACGTTTTACTTCATCGAACCCAGCTTTTTGGATTATTTGCTCAGCATACAGGTTGAATAAGTATAGTGAAAGAACACAACCTTGTTGCATACCACCTTTCTTAATTTTAAGCCATTCAGTGTTCCCATGTTCTGTTCAAAAAACTGCCTCTTCTTTGGAAGACAAAGATGAAGAAGCCCCCCTCAAAAAAGAACTTTATAGAAAGGACAATTTTTGCCCTTTACAGAATAGTAGTTATCAGCTGCCACTGAGACAATTTTGACTCATAGGGACGCAATTCCCTATGAGTCGAACTCTGTTCCATAGGGTTTTTTAGGAAGTAGATTCCCAGGCCTTTCTCCTACAAGGCCCTGGGTAAACTCAAATGTCTGATGTTTTGATTAGTAGTGAGCAGATTCCTGTTTATATCTCTGTATCCCTCACCCGAGCACCCTTTTCTTTCCCTATGTTAACATGGCTGAATTCTGCTTGTAAGCCCATCCGTTGCCGAGGACAAGCAGATATCATCTTTGGTTGAAAGAATTTCCGAGGAGTCCCTACCCCACCTCCTCTCAGCTCCATCTCCATCACCAACCAAAGATGCAGGATTCTTGGAAGCACAGTGTGCAGTCTACAAAACACCCTCGAACATGAAGTCTGTGCTCTTCTGCATCCTTGTATATTCCTAACCAGTCCGATGCTAAAGACATTCTTAGAGTACAACTTAGACCCCTCCCTCTGCAGTTGAATCTCTCTCACATCATCATGATCATGTTGGAGGATTTCTGGGAAAAGTTTGGATTTAGTGGGTCAACCAGAAGTCAGAGGAAGCACACATCTCTAGGGTTCAATGAACCAAAGAGGAGAGTTAGGGACATCATTACTGGAGAAAGAGGGTACTTCTTGGAGGGAAGGGTGTCACCGAGCTTCTCCAGGGCTATATGCTACTTTCACTAGAGCAAAGGCCAATAAGCCAGCAGCCTCAGCCCTGAGTGCTCCCCACAACCCCTCCTCTAAGGCATTCAGGGTCTGAGAGCAATGATCCTTTCAGGCTCTTAGCCCCTCCTAATGTAGCTGGTTCCTTCTTGTTCATCACGTTTCCATTAGACATCACCTCTTCAGAGAAACCCTTCAGAGACCACCG